TCGGAAATTGGCAGGATTTGGGGATAGTTAGGGCAAGCGGCTTTAGAAGATGCGAGCATTTGTTTGCTCAATTGTGGTCCTACTGGTTCAGAGGCATTGAAGAATCTTGTACTTGGTGGAGTTGGAGTACCACCTTCCTTGATGGATCCAAGGTTGAAATTGGAGACCTCGAAAACAATTTCATGGGTAATTACTATTCTCTTAGGTTCTTGAAATTGCTTATATCTCTTCTGGGGTTTTTGGGTATGTATGTACATTTACTTACTTCGGGTTATGGTGATTTGTCTTGTGAAGTGGATGAGACGAGTGTTGGGCAATCAAAAGCTAAATCTGCTTGTGCGTTTCTACAAGAGCTTAATGATGCTGTTAAAGCCAATTTTATTGAGGAGAATCCATACACTTTGATAATCACAAATCCATTTTTCTTCTCTCAGTTCACTCTGGTTATAGCTACTCAGGTACACTTGGGTTTTAGTTGTAAAGTCTTAACATCCTCAAGTGAAAGTGTGTTAAGACTTTCCAAATTGTGATATTTGATTACAGTCATTCACACTTCACACTTAGGTTTTTTACTTTGGAACTGCTAGCCATGAATCATGAGGCCTTCTATTCAATGTTTACAGATTCTCATATGACCTTTCCGGGTCCTTCACGAGATATTCCTTTATTAGTCCTTTTATATGATATTCAGTCATTCTTTTCATCCCCTTTTCGTCGTTGGTTGCTTGTGTATGGTGGAAGATTCAATGGTGAAACTTGATAGTTTGCATTCACGACCATTTGTGATTTCATCAACAACTTCTTCATGTGTGATGATTTTAATTTTAATTTTTGTGTTTAAGAACCCCTAATGGGATTCTACCAATGGAGGAGAAAAAAATTAGAATCTTCTAATTAGGTTTTTAACTTGGGATGATGTAAAATCTATATTAAAAATATTGTTAAGAACTTCATTAAGGATTCTACTAATGGAGATGCTCAAACTTGTAACATACTATTAGCATAATTGGGAAGACTTCAGCAGAAAAAAAAAATTTAGACACCATGTGAAAATAAAACTAGAAGAAGACAAAATCAACATAACGTATATATTAACAATAGTATTTACTTTGTTGTTTACTATGGTCCACTGATTTACTCTATCTTTTTCTTTTTTTGTTCTATTTTCACAACATCATTTCTCGTTTTAAAACATTTGAAATGCTTTTAAATGATATCAATATAAAAAAATTCTGTTAATTGGCTTCTTGTTGACATGTTTACACATCTGTGTATATAATAAGCTTTGGTGGTAAATTAAAATTCAACAAATCCGAATTGCCGAAAGATATTACTTAAATAAATTGTACAATAAAATTTAACGATAGATTAAATAAATTATCTTTATCTATTTTTCAAATAAATTAGAAATATTTACTTATTATTTTAGCGATAAATAATAAAAAATATTTATTAATTTTGGTAAAAAAAATAAAAGATGAAACTATTGATGACATAAATTAGGTTTTAGAAAATAATTTAATAAAATATTTTTCTTTTCTAAAAAATAATAAATTATTAAATATAATGTATATTTAATTTTGAAAAACAATGTTTCATAGATATTTTCATAAGTTTAACTATATAATTTATTTTCAACAATTCAGCCACATTCTGCCATATTCAGCTGTTACCATTTGCATTCAAAGTTATTCTGTCAGATTCTGTAATAAATCTTCAGAAATTCAGCCAAATTCTGCAATTCAGTTAGATTTCGCTGTTACCATTTAGACCCTAAGTTTTACTTGACTATATTCTATTTAAAAAGCTCACTGGAGTATGTACAATTAAAGATGTAGATAATATGTTAACGAAAAAAAA